CTTATTCTTGGTGTAAGAATTACTGAGAAATTCTCTTAATTGTGGGTAATTTTTATTCATATCCCACTTCTGCCACCATTTATTGTACGTTAGTGTTTGTATCCCACCGCTGCCACCATTTATTGTACGTAAGTGTTTGTATCCCACCGCTGCCACCACTTATTGTACGTTAGTGTTTGTATCCCACCGCTGCCACCACTTATTGTACGTTAGTGTTTGTATCCCACCGCTGCCACCACTTATTGTACGTTAGTGTTTGTATCCCACCGCTGCCACCACTAATTGTACGTTAGTGTTTGTATCCCACCGCTGCCACCACTAATTGTACGTTAGTGTTTGTATCCCACCGCTGCCACCACTTATTGTACGTTAGTGTTTGTATCCCACCGCTGCCACCACTTATTGTACGTTAGTGTTTGTATCCCACCGCTGCTACTGCTGCCACCACTTATTGTACGTAAGTGTTTGTATCCCACCGCTGCCACCACTTATTGTACGTTAGTGTTTGTATCCCACCGCTGCCACCATTTATTGTACGTTAGTGTTTGTATCCCACCGCTGCCACCATTTATTGTACGTTAGTGTTTGTATCCCACCGCTGCCACCACTTATTGTACGTTAGTGTTTGTATCCCACCGCTGCCACCACTAATTGTACGTTAGTGTTTGTATCCCACCGCTGCCACCACTTATTGTACGTTAGTGTTTGTATCCCACCGCTGCCACCACTTATTGTACGTTAGTGTTTGTATCCCACCGCTGCCACCACTTATTGTACGTTAGTGTTTGTATCCCACCGCTGCCACCACTTATTGTACGTTAGTGTTTGTATCCCACCGCTGCCACCACTTATTGTACGTTAGTGTTTGTATCCCACCGCTGCTACTGCTGCCACCACTTATTGTACGTAAGTGTTTGTATCCCACCGCTGCCACCACTTATTGTACGTTAGTGTTTGTATCCCACCGCTGCCACCATTTATTGTACGTTAGTGTTTGTATCCCACCGCTGCCACCATTTATTGTACGTTAGTGTTTGTATCCCACCGCTGCCACCATTTATTGTACGTTAGTGTTTGTATCCCACCGCTGCCACCACTAATTGTACGTTAGTGTTTGTATCCCACCGCTGCCACCACTTATTGTACGTTAGTGTTTGTATCCCACCGCTGCCACCACTTATTGTACGTTAGTGTTTGTATCCCACCGCTGCCACCACTTATTGTACGTTAGTGTTTGTATCCCACCGCTGCCACCATTTATTGTACGTTAGTGTTTGTATCCCACCGCTGCCACCATTTATTGTACGTTAGTGTTTGTATCCCACCGCTGCCACCACTAATTGTACGTTAGTGTTTGTATCCCACCGCTGCCACCACTTATTGTACGTTAGTGTTTGTATCCCACCGCTGCCACCACTAATTGTACGTTAGTGTTTGTATCCCACCGCTGCCACCACTTATTGTACGTTAGTGTTTGTATCCCACCGCTGCCACCACTTATTGTACGTTAGTGTTTGTATCCCACCGCTGCCACCACTTATTGTACGTTAGTGTTTGTATCCCACCGCTGCCACCACTTATTGTATGTAAATGTTTGTATCCCATCGCTGCCACCACTTATTGTACGTTAGTGTTTGTATCCCACCGCTGCCACCACTTATTGTATGTAAATGTTTGTATCCCACCGCTGCCACCACTTATTGTACGTTAGTGTTTGTATCCCACCGCTGCCACCACTTATTGTACGTTAGTGTTTGTATCCCACCGCTGCCACCACTTATTGTATGTAAATGCTTGTATCCCACCGCTGCCACCACTTATTGTATGTAAATGTTTGTATCCCACCGCTGCCACCACTTATTGTATGTAAATGTTTGTATCCCACCGCTGCCACCACTTATTGTACGTTAGTGTTTGTATCCCACCGCTGCCACCACTTATCAATAGCAGAAAGAAACTGCTCGGAGCGAAACTTTATTTATAGCATACATATTGCCTTAAACAAACCTTTATCAAGGTGTTAGACAATGTCATCAGGCAATAAGTGGCAATTTCAAAATCTTTAGAAGGAATAACCTTCATTTTACGATGTTTCACCCTTTAGCTAAATAAAATACCTGGAAGGTAAAAGCGGAATATAGCCTTGGTATATCTGTGTCAACAATACTAAAAGAGAATTAAATAATTAACTGGAGTGCCCTAGGAATACAGCTTGAAGCTTATGTAGATCTTTAACTCACATTAACGCAGCAACTTGCTATATAAATAGGGCAGGTGTGTGCCTCTCACAAGATGCCTGGATGTAAACAATGATGTGTACACTAGTGATTGACTGAGACTTATCAACATTAGAAACACGAATTGACCAAAGATTCTTGATGGTTGGCGTTTTCGAGGATGGTGTTGGAAGGGTGGCATGGGTGGGGGGGGGGATGAGCTCGTGGGATGATAGAGGACGGAATAGATGGGGTGAATGAGGGATAGAGAGGGTAGGAGGGATGGGATAATCTGGATAGTATCAGCCAAATCATCTGCCACAGTACTGATTCCTAGTATTGCAAGTCCGTTCATCCCTGTAACTGCATGCTTCTGTGTATGATAATTTACGTAACTGTATTTGTCTATACCTGAATAAACTTACTTACTTATTACTCTCCTAGGCAAGTACCTTGATGCTGGTAAAGATCTCTTGATGCAAGGATTTAGAACTACCCACCATTTCCTTGGATCAAACCTGATTACTTACCCTTCCCCAGGCGCAGCATGACTTTGGCCAGCTACCGAGATATCCAAGACCAGCCACCCAGTTGTCGAGGTCCAGCCACCGAGATATCCAGGACCAGCCGCCCAGCTATTGAGGCCCAGCCACCCAGATATCCAGGACCAGCCGCCCAGCCACCCAGCCACCCACCGCTGGTAGAGAGAGCGGCTGTTTCAGTTTGTGTGTGGCGTCGAAGGCGCGCGGGTGAGGCAGTGGCAACTGCTTCCATCCTAACTCACTCAACGCTCAATGGCTCTCACGGGCTTAGCGCTTCTTTGTGAACATATAAATAATAACTCATGCTCCTCCAGTACTAGTTAGTAGCATACTAGCGAACTATTCTAGAGCTCATGTACTTTGCGTACTCTACTACTCTGGAGGACTATTGTCATGATGCCCAAAGTGGTTACAGTGTTTTGTCTCTAGTCGGTTCGGATGGACATGACCCCTGCGGCCCGATCCCAGACCAGACCTATATAGACTACCCAAGGTGTGGTGATTCTCTGTTTTTTAAATGGGGTGAAAACCATAGCGGATGCATAAGCACTGACAAGGTTGTTACATCATACACCAGAGTCGACTGACGGGGTTGTTACATGACTGACCAGAGTCGACCCTCAAGGTCGTTACATGAGAGACCAACGTGAGTGACAGGGTCGTTACATGACTGACCAGAGTCGACCCTCAGGGTCGTTACATGAGAGACCAACGTGAGTGACAGGGTCGTTACATGACTGACCAGAGTCGACCCTCAGGGTCGTTACATGAGAGACCAACGTGAGTGACAGGGTCGTTACATGACTGACCAGAGTCGACCCTCAGGGTCGTTACAAGACAAACCAGCGTAAGTGACAGGGTCGCTACATGGCAGACAAGCGTGACTGACAGGAAGGGGGGTCGTTACAAGACAAACCAGCCTCACACGACACTTTCCCCTAATTCTAAACTACACGCTGCCACCACCTCCACCAGTCCACTAACTACCGAACTACCCAATACTCTCTCTCACTCAAGAATCAAAACACCGGACCAACGCTACGTTGTACAGAGGTAAAGACAGTGCTTCAGACTAGTACATATTTCTACAGCGGTTACATTGAGCACACGAACAGTTACAGAGACACATTCGTGCTAAGACGTGCTGTACTCCTGCGGTGGTGGGAAGAGTACCAACAGTCTTGATTAGTTAAGGATAAGTCTTGATTAGCAGACGGAGGATGGAGCCTTCATTACTCTTTGTACTAAATGAGTCCCATAAGTCTGGCGCCTTGTTCATATAATTAGTGGCCAATTATCCTGTTATCCAACATTAGTGACGAGTTATTCAACATTAGTGATGAGTTATCCAATATCAGTGATGAGTTATCTTGTTATTTAACATTAGTGATGAGTTATCCAACATTAGTGATGAGTTATCCAATATCAGTGATGAGTTATCTTGTTATCCAACATTAGTGATGAGTTATCCAATATTAGTTATGAGATATCCATTATTAGTGATAAGTTATCCATTTTTAGTGATGAGTTATCCAATATTAGTCATGAGTTATCCTGTTATCCTCCAGTACAGAAAAGTTATCCTGTCGTTCTACTCAGACGAAAACATATTACAATGAACGTTCCATGTTTGTTACAATGAACGTTCCATGTCTGTTACAATGAACGTTCCATGTCTGTTACAATGAACGTTCCATGTCTGTTACAATGAACGTTCCATGTTTGTTACAATGAACGTTCCATGTTTGTTACAATGAACGTTCCATGTCTGTTACAATGAACGTTCCATGTCTGTTACAATGAACGTTCCATGTCTGTTACAATGAAATGTTCCATGTCTGTTACAATGGACGTTGCATGTCTGTTACAATGAACGTTCCATGTCTGTTACAATGAACGTTCCATGTCTGTTACAATGAACGTTCCATGTCTGTTACAATGAACGTTCCATGTCTGTTACAATGAACGTTCCATGTCTGTTACAATGAACGTTCCATGTCTGTTACAATGAACGTTCCATGTTTGTTACAATGAACGTTCCATGTCTGTTACAATGAACGTTGCATGTCTATTACAGCTAACGTTATGTCTGTTACAATGAACGTTACATGTCTGTTACAATGAACGTTCCATGTCTGTTACAATGGACGTTCCATGTCTGTTACAATGAACGTTCCATGTTTGTTACAATAAACGTTCCATGTCTGTTACAATGAACGTTGCATGTCTATTACAGCTAACGTTATGTCTGTTAAAATGAACGTTACATGTCTGTTACAATGAACGTTCCATGTCTGTTACAATGAACGTAGCAGAAATGAGAAAAACAACATTTGGGTCGTTGGCACTCTCTGGCGTTCATTACATTCAGATGGCGAGAGATGGTGCCATGTAGTGAACGCCTCTGTGATCATCATACAGTGAAAGCCTGAGCGAACGTCATACAGTGAACGCCGTATAACGAACGCCATACAAAGATCGCTATGAAGTGAAAGAAAGTGTAAATTCTACATAGTGAACGCCTGAGTTAGCAGTATAAAGTGAACGACACTATAACAGTGAATAACAGTGAACACATAAGTCGGAAACCATTGGGTGAACGCCAAGCAGTGAACGTCAGAGTGAACATTATGCAGTGAACGCCAAATAGTGAAAGTCGGAGTGAACATTATACAGTGAACGCCAAGCAGTGAACGTAAGAGTGAACACTATATAATGAACGCCAAGCAGCAAACGTAAGAGTCAACACTTTGCAATGAACGGCAAGCAGTAAACGTCTTAGCGTAAATTATATAGCGAACGCCCGAGTAAGCGTGAAAACACTAGTAAGCACATTTAGTGAACGAAAGAAAACCCAATGCGGTGAACGCAAGAGAACGCCGTACAGTGAACGCAAGAGAACGTCAGGTGTGTCGAGAAGATGACCACGTGGCCCTTCATCTTCTGCCTCACGTTCACCACTCTGGTCCCACTGGGTGAGTGTGAGTGTGTGTGTGTGTGTGGGTGGGAAGGCGGTGTATGACTGTATGTGTGGAGGCGTGTGTATGACTGTATGTGTGGGGGCGTGTGTATGACTGTATGTGTGGGGGCGTGTGTATGACTGTATGTGTGGGGGCGTGTGTATGACTGTATGTGTGGAGGCGTGTGTATGACTGTATGTGTGGGGGCGTGTGTATGACTGTATGTGTGGGGGCGTGTGTATGACTGTATGTGTGGGGGCGTGTGTATGGCTGTGTGTAGGGGAAATATGTAGGACTGTGTGTGGGATGTAAGACTGTATATGTGTACTCATCTGTATTTGGTTGCAAGTGTCGATAAGTGTCGATTTACAGCTCTTGGCTTCGCTACGTATATATATATATATATATATATATATATATATATATATATATATATATTATATATATATATATATATATATATACATATATATATATATATATATATTATATATATATATATATATTTATATATATATATATATATATATATATATATATATATATATATATATATATATATTATATATATATATATATATATATATATATATATATATATGTATGCATGTATTCTCCATGGGGAAGTGGAACAGAATTCTTCCTCCATAAGTCATGCGTGTTGTAAAAGGCGACTAAAATGCCGGGAGCAAGGGGCTAGTAACCCCTTCTCCCGTATAAATTACTGAATTTAAGAGAAACTTTCGTTTTTCTTTTTGGGCCACCCTGCCTTGGTGGGATACGGCCGGTGTGTTGAAAGAAAGAAATATGTATGTATGTATGTACACAATTCCCCTGTAAATATTTTTCCAATAGCATTCATTCTGTTATATACACAACATCGGTCCCTTGTACGCACAAGACTCCCCCCACTCTCTGTTTTCCTATATTCAAACTAAACAAAGAGAGTCGAATGTTTGTGGCATTTCCGAGGCTTCTAGCAACACAGACTTGCTAGATGCTGCTGCAGCACAGACTTGCTAGATGCTGCTGCAACACAGACTTGCTAGATGCTGCTGCAACACAGACTTGCTAGATGCTGCTGCAACACAGACTTGCTAGATGCTGCTGCAACACAGACTTGCTAGATGCTGCTGCAACACAGACTTGCTAGATGCTGCTGCAGCACAGACTTGCTAGATGCTGCTGCAACACAGACTTGCTAGATGCTGCTGCAACACAGACTTGCTAGATGCTGCTGCAACACAGACTTGCTAGATGCTGCTGCAACACAGACTTGCTAGATGCTGCTGCAACACAGACTTGCTAGATGCTGCTGCAACACAGACTTGCTAGATGCTGCTGCAGCACAGACTTGCTAGATGCTGCTGCAACACAGACTTGCTAGATGCTGCTGCAGCACAGACTTGCTAGATGCTGCTGCAACACAGACTTGCTAGATGCTGCTGCAACACAGACTTGCTAGATGCTGCTGCAACACAGACTTGCTAGATGCTGCTGCAACACAGACGGAGAGAATATTAACGTAGTTAGAGCCAGGTTGCTAAGGGAGATGTTTGAAAATGATGTATTAAATTTCTTTTTTCCTGTTTATACAATATTAAAATGTCTTTTCGTTATTTAGTTTCATATAGGAAGTATAAATTCATATTAATGGTAACAATTTACTAATAACTTTCAGAAGGAAGTTCATGGTCGAGGTACCTATTTACGTTACGGGAGTACAGCGATAGGTACTCGAACACCACAACACTGTCGCTGGAACAACACTCAACTAACTCACAACATTGTCACTGGGACAACATTCAACTAACTCACAACATTGTCACTGGGACAACACTCAACTAACTCACAACATTGTCACTGGGACAACACTCAACTAACTCACAACATTGTCACTGGAACAACACTCAACTAACTCACAACATTGTCACCGGGACAACACTTAACTAATCCACAACATTGTCACTGGAACAACACTCAACTAACCCACAACACTGTCGCTGGAACAACACTCAACTAACCCACAACATTGTCGCTGGAACAACACTCAACTAACTCACAACACTGTCACTGAGGCAACACTCAACTAACCCACAACATTGTCACTGGAACAACACTCAACTAACTCACAACACTGTCACTGGGACAACACTTAACTAATCCACAACATTGTCACTGGAACAACACTCAACTAACCCACAACACTGTCACTGGAACAATACTCAACTAACCCACAACATTGTCACTGGGACAACATTCAACTAACTCACAACATTGTCACTGGGACAACATTCAACTAACTCACAACATTGTCACTGGGACAACACTCAACTAACTCACAACATTGTCACTGGGACAACACTCAACTAACTCACAACATTGTCACTGGAACAACACTCAACTAACTCACAACATTGTCACTGGAACAACACTCAACTAACTCACAACATTGTCACTGGAACAACACTCAACTAACCCACAACATTGTCACTGGGACAACATTCAACTAACTCACAACACTGTCACTGGAACAACACTCAACTAACTCACAACATTGTCACCGGGACAACACTTAACTAATCCACAACATTGTCACTGGAACAACACTCAACTAACCCACAACACTGTCGCTGGAACAACACTCAACTAACCCACAACATTGTCGCTGGAACAACACTCAACTAACTCACAACATTGTCACTGGGACAACATTCAACTAACTCACAACATTGTCACTGGGACAACACTCAACTAACTCACAACATTGTCACTGGGACAACACTCAACTAACTCACAACATTGTCACTGGAACAACACTCAACTAACCCACAACATTGTCACTGGGACAACATTCAACTAACTCACAACACTGTCACTGGAACAACACTCAACTAACTCACAACATTGTCACCGGGACAACACTTAACTAATCCACAACATTGTCACTGGAACAACACTCAACTAACCCACAACACTGTCGCTGGAACAACACTCAACTAACCCACAACATTGTCGCTGGAACAACACTCAACTAACTCACAACACTGTCACATGAGGCAACACTCAACTAACCCACAACATTGTCACTGGAACAACACTCAACTAACTCACAACACTGTCACTGGGACAACACTTAACTAATCCACAACATTGTCACTGGAACAACACTCAACTAACCCACAACACTGTCACTGGAACAATACTCAACTAACCCACAACATTGTCACTGGGACAACATTCAACTAACTCACAACATTGTCACTGGAACAACACTCAACTAACCCACAACATTGTCACTGGAACAACACTCAACTAACTCACAACATTGTCACCGGGACAACACTTAACTAATCCACAACATTATCACTGGAACAACACTCAACTAACCCACAACACTGTCGCTGGAACAACACTCAACTAACCCACAACATTGTCACTGGAACAACACTCAACTAACTCACAACACTGTCACTGAGGCAACACTCAACTAACCCACAACACTGTCACTGGAACAACACTCAACTAACCCATAACACTGTCATTGGAACACCACTCAACTAACCCACAACACTGTCACTGGAACAACACTCAACTAACCCACAACATTGTCATTGGAACAACACTCAACTAACTCACAACACTGTCACTGAGGCAACACTCAACTAACTCACAGCACTGTCACTGGAACAACACTCAACTAACCCACATCACTGTCATTGGAACAACACTCAACTAACCCACAACACTGTCATTGGAACAACACTCAACTAACCCACAACACTGTCATTGGAACAACACTCAACTAACCCACAACACTGTCACTGGAACAACACTCAACTAACCCACAACACTGTCACTGGAACAACACTCAACTAACCCACAATACTCACTGGAAGAACACTCAACTACCCACAACACTGTCACTGGAACAACACTCAACTAACCCACAATACTGTCACTGGAACAACACTCAACTAACCCACAATACTCACTGGAAGAACACTCAACTACCCACAACACTGTCACTGGAACAACACTCAACTAACCCACAATACTGTCACTGGAACAACACTCAACTAACCCACAATACTCACTGGAAGAACACTGAACTACCCACAACACTGTCACTGGAACAACACTCAACTAACCCACAATACTGTCACTGGAACAACACTCAACGCTGGAACAACTCTTAGAAGAAAGAATTAATTAACAAACAGGATTCTGTTCACAGTCGTTAACACTCTCTTACAGAGCCAAATCATGGAAAGATATGCTCAACGTGAAAGATACTCGTTGAAGACGCGTGTACAGCGTGACACGAAAAAAAATCTTGTCTTTGTTGAGTATATGTCGTGGACCGGGCCGCGGGGGCGTTGATCCCCGGAATGCCCTCCAGGTAGACCCTCCAGGTAGACCCTCCAGGTAGACTCTCCAGGTAGACATCAAACAGAAACGGTCATAGTATATAATAACAAACGCTATGATGTCTAATATTCTTAGTGTTTTTTTTTCAGTTTGTGTAGAAATCCGTTTTCAAATTTCTAATGCCTTTCTTTCCTGAGTATCGGAAATCTGATGATCAATGAAAAATCCATTGAAGGCATCAATGACGTCAATCTTAAAATAAGCTTCGTGGCGAGAGAGCATAAATTGAAGGTCGCAGGACCATCAGGACCGGGAAGGACCTCGAGAACCGGCTGGTCTAGGCAGAGTGGTCTCGGCCAACCATCCGACGCCGGTACGATACACTCGGGTTCAGAAACCTTCCTCAAATGTCAACACGTATTTATTAGGGTTCAAAACAAAACAAAAAAATTTCACTGAAAATATCCCAAAAAAATGTTTCAGAGGCCGAACATTACACATTATCCGAAGCCATAAATGTTCCTATAAAGTATCACCCCATACTGTACGTCGCTGCTGCAACACATAACACAGAGTTGCTGCAACACCTAGCACATAGTTGCTGCAACACATAACACAGAGTTGCTGCAACACATAACACAGAG